TTGGATATAAATACTAAACTAAATGGCTAGGATAGTGATTAAGGGAGTGCATAGAAAGTCATGATCTTTACGAGATTTTATAAAAATGTGGAGGTGTGCTATCTGAATAAAAAAGAAAAGTGAGAGTAATCAAGGTGAATAAGAAACGAAAGATCTTTAAGATTTTTGAAACATGTAGATTTACACCATCCAAGTAAAACTGTCGAAGTGAAAAGTTAAAACAAGCAAATAAGACTTCCCCACAGGAGGAGCGGGCAGATAGAACAGAAATGCATACGAAAGCATCCTTTGTGACAGAATGGGCATGGCAGCAGAATTACATGAACACTTTGTACCAAGAGAAAATAGTGAAACCTTTCCTATTACTTTAATATATGGACAATTTTATGGTCATACCTGACTGGGGAAAAGGTTACCATGTTGATATGTTTTATCAACTGCATGGTGGCGCACAGTGACCATAGCAAAATCCTCATCCATAAATATTCTCTCGTTCCCCATGGATCCTCCAAAAGCAATTCCAACAGGCATTGGATGTGCGTCATACACCCTACCAGTTGGATGAAGGTGGCTATAGACAAAGTTTTTCTCCTTTCCTGCCAAGAATTTAAATATTCCCTTAATTTCAGTTGGGCAAACTAATTTCTATCAGAATTTTGGAAAAATATTACCAAACAAGATAAGAACTTTCTAATTTACCAACCTGAAGATGAGAACACATGATAGACTGGACTTATAGCATACAGACACCCAGAAGTTCCATAAGACATTTCCCTATTTTCAAAACCCTGATCGGTGAGTGCACTAATAATCCACTTCCTTGTATTTTTATTATCCTCGTGAGCAGCAGAAATCAGCATTAGTAACTGACCATTGTAGCCCTCGACATTTGACCAGAACCGATTCAGACCTTTCCCATGAAGAGATGATCTATTCAAGGTTTGAAAGAGACATTAGCTAAAGAACTGCACGATTTTTGAATGGCAAGAGCACATAATAGACTGTGGAAATTACATCTACATAACACACATGGTTCTTAATTCTGAGCATTCAAGATATTTTTCATGAGAAAACAGGTATTTAAAAAATGATACAAGAGCAAATAAAAAACTGAACAGGAAAGTTTAATCAATAAAATTAGATTAAAAGAAATAGATTTACATGATTTCATTATTTCATGTTATGAAAGATACTTAAATAAAAGGAAATAAAATAATAATTATAAATTTGATTCTATGTGCACAAGCATGACAAATTTTAACATTTTTGGCAGCCCAAAAATATAAGATATACACCAAAGCAGCTAACACATGCAAAACAATATGTAACCAAGTAGTTTTTTGCAACTATGAGTAGCAAGCAGTAGCTACAATAAATGTTCTGCTCAGCTCCTTTGATGCAGTAAGCATCATAGTTTATGAAACCTACACAACCATGTACATTTCCTTTCTCTTTTACCCTTAATACAAGGAATGGACAAAAGGAGAGCGAACAAACCGATAGAGCAAATTTTCATTTATATCACCAGCATTACTTGGGAAACAAATTTTTGATATCTCTTCGTGCATAGGACTTCTCAGGGAAAGTGAGATGGCCCAGGCCCTTCCGGAAGTAAGAAGGTTGGTGTTGCATATTTCTGTTGGGGAATTTTCATGAGCGGAAGAGCATGATGGCTCCATTTTCTCCTGAAAGTGGTTGGATTTACACAATCAGACGTGACTTTATCCATGTCAAACTCAACAAATTTGATTTCACTAAGAGACATCATCGTCGAATTCCGTCCTAATGTGAGATGGCATCAGAATGAGAGACAACACAAATGCCAAGCAGATAATTCAAACAGGATCACAATACAAAACAAGCACTTTACAGGAAAATAGTAAACACGATTAAAGCTTAGAAGAGCATCCATTATTTGACAGAAAAGCAAAAATAAGAAAAAATACCCATCCTTATGCCAGGTAAGCACAAATATTTTAGAGCTTCTATTTGTATGATGCTTACACCTCTATTACAGATTGAATTCTGGTTTGACTTGGATTGGTTTTTATCTAAGATGATGACTTCAGGCATTTCACCATTTCTGCCATTGAGTTAGTTCTCCCGTTGATTCCACTTTCTTTCTCTTATCAATTGTCTTCACACGAGCCCTCCGTCTCTCCGACCTGTCTCCGGTTCTATTGAACCTCATTACAGAGTAGTAAAAAGAGAAGTCAAATCATTATTAGCACTTCGGAGAACTGCCACTTCCCATCCAGACAGAAACCATCATTAACACCACCATCCTATATAATCTTATCTGAAGAATGAAAAGTTATTACCACTGTCACCACAATTGAGTGCTTCAGTTTCGTTTTTTTTTTTTTTCGAAATTTTTAACCAATAAAAGAACTATGGTCTCCTTTTCCTTTTTTCTTTTACTCTTCTAGAAAAGAAACCACGCTAGCACTAAATGAATAAATAAAATGAAATCCTATACTGACATGTGAATTACATGTTGGCTTCACATGAACTCTATGGTTAATTGTTCCACGGTATAAATGCAATTTTGATATCTTACATGGTTGTTGGTGAATGCATTATCATACAATGCTACTAAACAGAGAACGACCATTAAATATGTCCATTTCAAACTGGAAATAAAAGCATAAAGGAACAAATTCATTTGATCCAATCAATTTGAAGCAAGAGGTAGAAAACCTCATGAGTTGCCGAGCAGCAGAGTCTCGCATGGACAAATTGCACAAAGCAATCAGCTAGATTTGGTACAGTTTTCAATGCCCATAAATGAATCTTCATAACAGGAAGGAGAACATCCAAGTCTGAAACAATGCAATCCCAATGATCCAATTTGTGACCACCTTCAGCACAAGATTCAATGGCTGATAAAACCAAATGGGAAATATCCGGAAGACTCCAATCCCCTCTGCTTTTTTGTAAGTTCAGCTTTAACTTCCTAGAATCTGACAACAAAATCCAACAAATCCAAAGAAGCAATAGCAAATCAATGGGCAGTAATGACCCGCTGATTTTACAGTCATCCTCATATGACTCAAATTGCAGCTTAACTGGAAGTCCTGCCTTTGAAAACATCGTGGAAAAAACTTGGAATAAGTTAGTTAATGATGTTGAAGCGACTGTTCTTCCGCAGCATTTCACGTACCCTTTCAGGAATTCAATCCAACTCACTCCATTTTTATCCGCCAAGAAAAATAAGTCAACTATTGCAGAACCCAGATGGCTTAACAACACCGGCAATTCTTTCTGCACTGCAGTTTGTTCAGATATTCCGTTCTCAAAAGTTAAGCTGAAGCATTTCTGAAACCAGTGGATAGCATGTAAGAGGAAACCATAAAGAAAACCATAAATATTTATCCAAATAAATGAGAAGGGTGGTTTCATTTAATAAAATAGCAAATATTAATTTCAGAATGCAATAGAATTAAAAATGAAAAAAAAAAAAGGTTCGGTTATTAATTTGAAACAAAAGAAATATTCGACGATCAAGTGGAATAATAAAATCTGATTTCGCAACGTCACTATATAAGGTTCTCAGAACAACCACTTTGTGCACTATTCTTTCGGCAAAAAGTATAATAGAATTTCAAGACAAGCTATCGAAGAACATGATAAATTTTACACAAAATATAATCAAATATTTAATGTCGTTCATTTTCTCTTGAATGGTTGCATATTTATTTCTTTTGATTCTATTTTGCATGTGCAATTGAAACTAATTTTTGAGTTGAAAGTCAATCAAGACAGTTTGTGGTGTCGTTATAGACACATATTTCCTCGGCCAGAAGCCTTTGCGACAATTCTCCTCTAAATTGTGGACCTCGTTAAATTTTTAGCTGGCAGCATTTTTTGTTTATCTGCGTCTTAATTTTCTAGTCAAATCACTCAATTAATTATTTACATTTTAACCTAATTTCCAAATTGCACTGTTAAATACTAAAATGATTTGGTGGATTACTTAAATAGTCATTTTGAAGATTTGACCAATGAACTTTTCGACATATCACTTTGTTGGAAATTAAATATAAATAAATAGAAGATTGTCCCTCAAATTGTTAAAGATGTATTAACTATTCAAATATCAACAATTGTTTTTGAATCTATATTCCTTATTAGCAGTCAAATTCTTAATTCCTTTGAGAGTTCGTTGAGTACCATTATAGTTTAGACGGTGATTTGTCCTAAAAATCCACTGCATAATAGAAAGAAACCTATAGCAATTCTTCAACATTTGGATGAAGTGGAAGCATTGGATGATTTACAGAAAGTTATATTAGGTATCATCGTAATTGATCTTTCTATTCATTTTCTTTTATTAGTTGTTTTATATCATTTAACCATAATAAAAAAAAAATTACGTACAATCTTTATGGAGAGTGAATTTTGTGTTTCAATTGCAAATATTGTTCTAATTAGTATCGACTAACAAGTTAAAATGTTTATATCTTGATGTTCCATTAAAATGATTAGAATTATAAAACTTTAATTTGTAACACTTTTAAGGCTATAATTTATGTTTTAACGTGAAATTTTAAACTAATATTTATTATTCAACTTATTTGATATACATTAATTTCTTTTTTGGTTAAATCGTGATTTTAAACCAAATCAAACTGAAAAAAGTGATTTGAATTGATTTGGTTTAAAAATCAAAATGGTTCGATTTAGTTCGAAAAAATTTCAAATTGCTTTAAAGGCTTAGTTTGAAATTTTGTCTCAAACCATCCATACAGAACCATAATCGCCCTAGTCAGATATGATAGAATCAAAATTTCTTCAACTAAATACAAAATTTAAACTTTTTCATTCTCTTTTTAACACCTTATCTACATGTAAACAATTATATACAAGTAGCATTATTCCGAAAATATTGAGTATCACTCTGCATAATAGTGCAGGGACATCGCGCCAGGTGAATTCATTTGTGGGCAAGGCATGATTCTTGATTCTCATAACATTGCAAAAGAGCTGCAAGAGAGAGATAGAGAGAGGTGCTCTATTTTCAATGAACTGAACTCATTCGAGCAACTATACACCATGAAGAAACTTAAAAAGTTATAGACCCCAAATAATTCTTACAGGCTTGAAGAAAAAGAACCATTTTAATTTACTTCATAAGCGAACAAGTATTAATATATCCCAGTGAAAGTATTCTATAAAATCCCAAGCAATATAGCCACAGCCAAGCGTCTCAAACAATCAACTGTGATATATATATATATATATATATATATTTGCACTCTCGTGGATCATAATCTGATTTGGCAGACGAGAATTATTCATCGATCTTCTCTCCGAACTGTTTCCGGATTAGACACCATGTCCATCATCATCTTCTCCGGCGAGTCTTCCCAACTGGCAAAGGTTTTCAGGTCAACCTGCAATAGTCAGAAAGAAATATATTATCAGTAACTGTAGCCCAATTAACCTTTGGAAAGCTAACATGCTCAAGAACTTGGTTACTTTTCGCCTTTGCTCGGTAAAAATTTCTTCTCTCTTCTTATAAGAAGCTTGAACTTTTCTGGCATTTTTCCCTCCTAATCCCCACACCTCAACTTCTGAAACTGAAGCTTCAACTGGTAGGAACCCCTGAAGCACAACGATATCACCAATAAGTACTCCATGAGTTGAGAACTTCAAAGTTCTCCACAGTATAATTGGGGAAAAACTCTCATTTTCGTGTAGCAGGTTAAAGTTACACAGGCCGGTCTGCAAAATGCCAGACCTGCAATGCATTTTTATTATGTCTTGCAGCTTGCTATATTTTGTTAACAATCCTGCTTGAAGTAGGACCTGTTTCACAGGTCCTGCCAGGATACACACACACACAGTGGGGTCCACCACAGTATATATATATATATATGTGTGTGTGTGTGTGTGTGTGTGTGTGGGGCCTGCCTGCTACAGTGAGCGACCTGGCAGGCCCCTGTGAAATTAATCCCTGTACTCGGGGATTAATTCTTTTTGTAAATATCAAGGTGAATTAAATATCATGGATTATTTTTATACAAGTTATCCTGAACTCCTGGAAATAAATTTTCCCATACTTGAGGTTTGGATATAAATACTAAACTAAATGGCTAGGATAGTGATTAAGGGAGTGCATAGAAAGTCATGATCTTTACGAGATTTTATAAAAATGTGGAGGTGTGCTATCTGAATAAAAAAGAAAAGTGAGAGTAATCAAGGTGAATAAGAAACGAAAGATCTTTAAGATTTTTGAAACATGTAGATTTACACCATCCAAGTAAAACTGTCGAAGTGAAAAGTTAAAACAAGCAAATAAGACTTCCCCACAGGAGGAGCGGGCAGATAGAACAGAAATGCATACGAAAGCATCCTTTGTGACAGAATGGGCATGGCAGCAGAATTACATGAACACTTTGTACCAAGAGAAAATAGTGAAACCTTTCCTATTACTTTAATATATGGACAATTTTATGGTCATACCTGACTGGGGAAAAGGTTACCATGTTGATATGTTTTATCAACTGCATGGTGGCGCACAGTGACCATAGCAAAATCCTCATCCATAAATATTCTCTCGTTCCCCATGGATCCTCCAAAAGCAATTCCAACAGGCATTGGATGTGCGTCATACACCCTACCAGTTGGATGAAGGTGGCTATAGACAAAGTTTTTCTCCTTTCCTGCCAAGAATTTAAATATTCCCTTAATTTCAGTTGGGCAAACTAATTTCTATCAGAATTTTGGAAAAATATTACCAAACAAGATAAGAACTTTCTAATTTACCAACCTGAAGATGAGAACACATGATAGACTGGACTTATAGCATACAGACACCCAGAAGTTCCATAAGACATTTCCCTATTTTCAAAACCCTGATCGGTGAGTGCACTAATAATCCACTTCCTTGTATTTTTATTATCCTCGTGAGCAGCAGAAATCAGCATTAGTAACTGACCATTGTAGCCCTCGACATTTGACCAGAACCGATTCAGACCTTTCCCATGAAGAGATGATCTATTCAAGGTTTGAAAGAGACATTAGCTAAAGAACTGCACGATTTTTGAATGGCAAGAGCACATAATAGACTGTGGAAATTACATCTACATAACACACATGGTTCTTAATTCTGAGCATTCAAGATATTTTTCATGAGAAAACAGGTATTTAAAAAATGATACAAGAGCAAATAAAAAACTGAACAGGAAAGTTTAATCAATAAAATTAGATTAAAAGAAATAGATTTACATGATTTCATTATTTCATGTTATGAAAGATACTTAAATAAAAGGAAATAAAATAATAATTATAAATTTGATTCTATGTGCACAAGCATGACAAATTTTAACATTTTTGGCAGCCCAAAAATATAAGATATACACCAAAGCAGCTAACACATGCAAAACAATATGTAACCAAGTAGTTTTTTGCAACTATGAGTAGCAAGCAGTAGCTACAATAAATGTTCTGCTCAGCTCCTTTGATGCAGTAAGCATCATAGTTTATGAAACCTACACAACCATGTACATTTCCTTTCTCTTTTACCCTTAATACAAGGAATGGACAAAAGGAGAGCGAACAAACCGATAGAGCAAATTTTCATTTATATCACCAGCATTACTTGGGAAACAAATTTTTGATATCTCTTCGTGCATAGGACTTCTCAGGGAAAGTGAGATGGCCCAGGCCCTTCCGGAAGTAAGAAGGTTGGTGTTGCATATTTCTGTTGGGGAATTTTCATGAGCGGAAGAGCATGATGGCTCCATTTTCTCCTGAAAGTGGTTGGATTTACACAATCAGACGTGACTTTATCCATGTCAAACTCAACAAATTTGATTTCACTAAGAGACATCATCGTCGAATTCCGTCGTAATGTGAGATGGCATCAGAATGAGAGACAACACAAATGCCAAGCAGATAATTCAAACAGGATCACAATACAAAACAAGCACTTTACAGGAAAATAGTAAACACGATTAAAGCTTAGAAGAGCATCCATTATTTGACAGAAAAGCAAAAATAAGAAAAAATACCCATCCTTATGCCAGGTAAGCACAAATATTTTAGAGCTTCTATTTGTATGATGCTTACACCTCTATTACAGATTGAATTCTGGTTTGACTTGGATTGGTTTTTATCTAAGATGATGACTTCAGGCATTTCACCATTTCTGCCATTGAGTTAGTTCTCCCGTTGATTCCACTTTCTTTCTCTTATCAATTGTCTTCACACGAGCCCTCCGTCTCTCCGACCTGTCTCCGGTTCTATTGAACCTCATTACAGAGTAGTAAAAAGAGAAGTCAAATCATTATTAGCACTTCGGAGAACTGCCACTTCCATCCAGACAGAAACCATCATTAACACCACCATCCTATATAATCTTATCTGAAGAATGAAAAGTTATTACCACTGTCACCACAATTGAGTGCTTCAGTTTCGTTTTTTTTTTTTTTCGAAATTTTTAACCAATAAAAGAACTATAGTCTCCTTTTCCTTTTTTCTTTTACTCTTCTAGAAAAGAAACCACGCTAGCACTAAATGAATAAATAAAATGAAATCCTATACTGACATGTGAATTACATGTTGGCTTCACATGAACTCTATGGTTAATTGTTCCACGGTATAAATGCAATTTTGATATCTTACATGGTTGTTGGTGAATGCATTATCATACAATGCTACTAAACAGAGAACGACCATTAAATATGTCCATTTCAAACTGGAAATAAAAGCATAAAGGAACAAATTCATTTGATCCAATCAATTTGAAGCAAGAGGTAGAAAACCTCATGAGTTGCCGAGCAGCAGAGTCTCGCATGGACAAATTGCACAAAGCAATCAGCTAGATTTGGTACAGTTTTCAATGCCCATAAATGAATCTTCATAACAGGAAGGAGAACATCCAAGTCTGAAACAATGCAATCCCAATGATCCAATTTGTGACCACCTTCAGCACAAGATTCAATGGCTGATAAAACCAAATGGGAAATATCCGGAAGACTCCAATCCCCTCTGCTTTTTTGTAAGTTCAGCTTTAACTTCCTAGAATCTGACAACAAAATCCAACAAATCCAAAGAAGCAATAGCAAATCAATGGGCAGTAATGACCCGCTGATTTTACAGTCATCCTCATATGACTCAAATTGCAGCTTAACTGGAAGTCCTGCCTTTGAAAACATCGTGGAAAAAACTTGGAATAAGTTAGTTAATGATGTTGAAGCGACTGTTCTTCCGCAGCATTTCACGTACCCTTTCAGGAATTCAATCCAACTCACTCCATTTTTATCCGCCAAGAAAAATAAGTCAACTATTGCAGAACCCAGATGGCTTAACAACACCGGCAATTCTTTCTGCACTGCAGTTTGTTCAGATATTCCGTTCTCAAAAGTTAAGCTGAAGCATTTCTGAAACCAGTGGATAGCATGTAAGAGGAAACCATAAAGAAAACCATAAATATTTATCCAAATAAATGAGAAGGGTGGTTTCATTTAATAAAATAGCAAATATTAATTTCAGAATGCAATAGAATTAAAAATGTATTAACTTTTCAGGAATTGTTTCACGACTAAAAGAAAAAAAAAATCCATAAATTTCTGTAAAAGGATTTTCAAAAATTGACTTGTTTATGTACTATACATACTTCCTAAAAGTAAACTCAGCAAAGTATTCATCATCAGTTAATAGAAAATGTATCAATTTAAAATATATCTATGAAAATAAAAAGAATCAGAATTCATTTTTCCGAATATTTCAAAGAAAATATAAGAATACAATTTTAATTTTTTTCGTGGATCATTTTTCCGAATATTTCAAGGAAAATATAAGAACCCAATTTTATTTTTATTTTTTTCTGGCCGACTCCATTTAAGTAAACAAAATATTATCAGTAAAAATGCCGAAAGGTAAACCTGTAAACTGATTCCGCCCAAATAATGAAATTCAATATTTCCAACTAATATCATATTAAAGGGGTATTGATTCTATCTTTTACCTGGAGAGAATTGAGGGGTATAGAATTAGTATGGGGATCTGATAGAAGAGAAAATGATTTTTCAAGAGCGGGGAGTGCTCCGGTTGATGCTGCTAATGATTGTACCTCGCTTAGCTCCGGTGATACTTGCTCTGTTGACGATGACTGCCCCATTTCTGATCTTCCTCTGCTTTTTCTACAGTTTTCTTGATGAGAATCTGAGAATCGATAAAGGAGATTCTGGAATTTAACTGATTGTCCCGCTTAAATAATCAGGTTTTGACTTTTGAGAATAATTAACGCCAGATGAAGTGATTATTTTAGAGATATTAAAGTATCTCAATTGGGGAAAATTGGGCTTATTTGGCCTTTGGGAGCGCAGAAGGGCATCTCCAAAGGGGAACTCAAAAACAGAATTTTACATCGTAAGCCGCCAATGTTGCATCATAGTTTGTTGAGTATTGCACCAAATGGTGCAAAATCTAGTATGGGGATCTGATAGAAGAGAAAATGATTTTTCAAGAGCGGGGAGTGCTCCGGTTGATGCTGCTAATGATTGTACCTCGCGTAGCTCCGGTGATACTTGCTCTGTGGACGATGACTGCCCCATTTCTGATCTTCCTCTGCTTTTTCTACAGTTTTCTTGATGAGAATCTGAGAATCGATAAAGGAGATTATGGAATTTAACAGATTGTCCCGCTTAAATAATCAGGTTTTGACTTTTGAGAATAATTAACGCCAGATGAAGTGATTATTTTAGAGATATTAAAGTATGATTTTGCAATTATCTTTCGTTTTTTTTCGAACATATTGGTTAGGGGTGTATGAGTCATTTTCTCATATATATTTTTAATAAAATAAACAAATAATAATAATAAATTCAAGGGATTGTTGATTTTTTCTTTTTTCTTTTTTCTTTTTTTGTGTATTGTTTTTTTGGTGATCATGTTTCACTTCCATTAATTATCACATTAAATTGGATTTTGAAGCAATTCAATAAAATGACAAAAGTTTAAAAAAGTGATCAAAAAAAAAAAAATAGATATCATGTTGCCCATAAAGTTCCTTTTTGACTTCACGACATCATGGAAAGAGAAAGGAAATGACATTTTGTACAACTACCCAAATTAGCCCTGGTTTTGGCTCAACCCGAACCGAGTTGGGAAAAATGAACTCAACCCTATCGAGAGATCTCCACTAGAGTTGAGTATTTTGATAAATTGCACGACTAGGATCTAAACGGAGTGATCTTTTAACTCGATTAAATTGGAAGAAAGAAATTATTAGAACTCAAAGTGAATGATCTTAGTTGAAGTTGGTAGGGCAAAAAGAAACCAACTTGATTTGAATCCAGTAATCTATTGCGACAAAAAAATCAACTCAACTCCTGTTGAGCTCTAGCTTCTAGGCACAAGGAGATGATTTGATTTCCAATTTTCTGAATTATATTATCTCTGGCGTAAAGGTAAAATACAGATTATTCCTACTATGCAATATGATTCTTATTCAGTTTGGTTTTGCCTCTTGGTTTGGGTCATGTTTGGAAGGTACTATATAATGGTGCTGAATCATATTTCAAGAACAACAAATTGACAAGCTTTCTGCCTTAGCAATCAAAGGTCAAGTTGAGATAATGCGAAAAATGTTATACTGTGTAGGATTATGCTTCTGTAATGTATAGCCAAGACGGTATAATCTCCCAAATAAATCTCAGAATAATGATGTTGCCCACTAAACATTCGATAAAATTTCTTGTTCAAAATTGGAGGTAATATTTGATTATACATTAAGTTTGCAGCACTCCGTGCCATATTGTTGCCGATTCATTAAATTTTTATTGTGAAGAGAACGCTGAATTAATTTATAAGGCAGACACCATAAAATCATACTGTGAATTGCTACAAATTGCCCTATTGGAGATAAATCTTAGCTCATGGATTTCTTATTATCAGAGGCTACATATTTTGGAGTTCTCATTCCTTAAATCAAGGAAGAGGCAACATCGTAGAGTCTTCGTTCCTTGAATAAAAGAAGAGGCGACATGTTTTGGAATCTTTGTTCCCTAAAAAAAAAGGAATAGACAAATTATCAAATACTTATTCATGGCTTTGCAAGATGTTTATTCATCACCTCTCCCTACTATCATCAAGCTTAATTGTAAGATCACGTTATTTCGATGTTAGTTTATAAGACTCCAATAGTTCAAGAATTATTTGCGTTTTGTTTATTCATTGCCTTACCAAATGCTTATTCATGACTTCACAAGATACATAGTCCTTGCCATTCAATATCGTTGATCCCAACTATAAGACCTCGTCTAACTGAGGCCATCTTATATGACTCTAATAGTTTGAGAGTATTCGCGGTATGTTTACTCTTGCCTCATTTTATGCTTATTCCCTGCATTGCAAGATGCTCATTCCTTGCCTTTCACTATCGTCAAGCCTAACTATAAGACATCGTTTATCTGAGGCCTTCTTATAAGATTTCGATAGTTTGAGACTTATTCACGTGATGTTTATTTTCCACCTCTCCAGATACTTATTTTTGGCTTTGCGAAATGCTCATTCCTTACCTCTTGCAATTGTCGAGCTAGCTATAAGACCTCGTCTATACAAGGCTATCTTATAAGATTCTGATAGTTGGAGAGCTATTCTCAAGATATTTATTCTCAGCTTAACCAGATGCTTATTCCTAATTTCACGAAATGCTCATTTCTTGCCTCTCGCTATCGTCGAGCTTAGATATAAGACCTCTTCTATCCAATGCCGTCTTATAAGGCTTCGATAGTTTGAGAACTATTCACTAGATGTTTATTCTCGTCTCGCCAGATACTTATTACTGGCTTTACGATATGCTCATTCCTTGTCTCTCGCTATTGTCGAGTATAGCTATAAGACATCATTATTCTGAGGCCAACTTATAAGACTTCGATAGTTCGAAAACTATTCATGGGATGTTTAATCCCCACCTCATCAGATGCTTATTCTTGACTTCGCGAAATGTTTATTCCTTGCTTCTCACCATCATCAAGCTTAGCTGTTAGATCTCATTATTCCAAGGCCAGTTTATAAGACTCTAATTGTTCGAGAGCTATTCGTTGGATATTTATTTCCCACCTCGCCAGATGTTTATTCCTGGCTTCGTGAGATACTTATTCTCACTCCCTCACTATCGTCGATCCCAACTATGAGACCTCTACTCGAGACCAACTTATAAGTCTCCAATAGTTCGAAAAAGCTACATGATCAATAGTTATTCCTCTCTTTGTAAGATGCCTTACCATATGAGATATTTCATTACAACTGCATTTATCTTCAAAGAGATCATTACGCTTCTACATTAACTGTAACACAACTATATCTATCTTCAAACAGCCTATAATGCCTCTCCATCGACTGCTTTAACTATGTCACATTTAATTATCTTCAGAGAGCTTATATTATCCCCTAAATGGATTAACCATCCGACATGTAAGGAAGCATGTGCGCCTTGGGTCCAAATTTTTTAAGGTTGACAACATATGCCTCTCATATACAAAAGGTCATGTGAGAAGCCTCTGCGTGGGTGAACTATCCACATACACGGAAGTTTGGGTGTTTCAACGAAGAACTAGATCCCAAAAGGGATCACCTCCTAATTTATCGAAGGGATTAGAACATACCTCACATGTACAAAAAGCCATGGGAGAAGCCTCTGTATAGATGAATTATCGACCATGCAAGGAAGCATAGGCGCTTCAATGAAGAGTTGGGTCCTAAAGTTGACCACCTCCTACGGGCAAAGATTGACCTTCGTGGAAAGGATGATTCATTCAGATCGATATGAGAGTCCAAGAGATTCTCAACATATCATAAGATTCTCGTTCTTAAAAATCCACACTTTCCCAAACCTAGAAAATGGACGAAATTCTAGGATTTCTTCAAGTACGAACCAATGGTACGATGGAACTTGTGCATGCAAAAGATTTTATTGAAAAAATAGCACATGCCTTCTATATACAAAAAGCTATGAGAGAAGCCTCTACATGGATGAATCGTCTACCATACATGGAATCGTGGACCTTTTGATGAAGAGCTGGATCCCAAAATAGACCATTTTCTAATTCCTCGAAGTGGATAACACATGGCTTCATGTACGAAAAGTCATAGGAGAAGCCTCTGTATAGATTAAGCATCCACCGCGTAAGAAAACGTGGACGCTTCGGTCAAGAGTTCGATCCCAAAGGAGACCACCTCCTAATTCGTTGAAGTGGATAGCACATGTCTCCAATGTACAAAAAATCATGGGAGAAGCCTCCCAAGCGTCAAAAAGTGATCTTACATTCCAAATTTCAGCAAAACTGAAGCATAACTTCAACCTTTCAGAGCATCGTCTTTGTATCAAATTTCAGCCAAATTAAAGCATCACTTCAGTATCTTTAGAACAACTCAACATTTAAATTAAGGCTTCTAAATAAATTAAATGCTTCCCATGAAAAGTTGGTTTAGTCCATATTACAGAAAAGATGCTGCTGAAATTTTGACAAATCATATGTGATATCTATTTTTTAGAGCAACCCCTGAGCCCTCTCTTATTCAAACTCTAACAGATATTTTTGAAGCAGTTCGAAAGTCCTCATACTGGAGCTACTTGTATTTCTGATGCAGTCTGTAAGACCTTACTTAGTTGACTACTTATATTTCGAAATTCAACCTGTACATGAAAGTACAACTCAAACTTTGGAACTATTGTTACACCTATAAATTTTATGGCATGTACATGACGAAGAGGGTCCCACATATGCTGATGTGGCATTGAATATTTAATTGATCGGGCTATTTAATTAAACAGTTTCATATTGAACCAGAGCTCGACCCACTAACATATGTGCAAGGGTGGAAATTTCGTTCGTTGGCTTGAGCGGCTCGTGGCTCAGAGGAACTGGGTTGAGGCTATAGCCGAGCCCATTTTGGGGCTTTAGATAGAGCCCAAGCCCATGCCATGGGCCATTTTCTAGACGTAATGAACTGAGCCTTAGGGGGAAAAAACTAAAACTGCTTACAAAACTATAACAAAAAAGAAAAATCAAATGAAAACGTTGCTTTAACCACATCTGCTACCTAAAGGCAGCTTGTAGCTGCCATAATATCTACCAATTTAAAATTCATATTTCAAATTTGAAATTTAAATTTAATTGAAATGGTTACATTTTTTTGACTATAATTATAACTTTTATTTAATTTAAAATTTGTTAATTTATAATTCATATACCACAAATTTTAAATTCTATAAAAAACATTACAATTGTACCAAATTTTAAAAAAAGCTTGTTGGCTCAGTTCAGTAAAGTCGAGCCAAAAGTTCAGGCCGAACCTAGATTTTTTTGGCTTAGCTCAGCTCAAGTTAAAAAAAGTTCAAACCATTTTTACTCGAGTGGAGCTTAAGCTTCAAGTTTCTGCTCGCGAGCCGCCCTGACTCAGTTCGTTGACATCCATACCCACGTAAACCATTCACAACTAATGTATGTTCATTCAAACCCTAACCAAACCCCCCTCTCTTGCCTCCTACACTCACTTTATCCTTGTACAACTATTGATTTGATCGTCGGAGTGCAAACGATTATCGGACATTTTTTTTATCGACGATCTTTGTCTTCTAATATGGTGTTCAGTGTACAGGTAATACTTATTTGGAAATGACGTGGCTGAATTTTGTTAGCACATTTTTTGAGGTCAACACCTTTTATTCTTGTACTTATTTTGGGCTCCATTTTATTAAAATGCATTTCTCTCTTTTTTTAACCAGACATTCTCTAATAATATATTATTACACGTAACTTCAGAATTTTTTCTTTTTTTAATCACTATTCTAATATATATTTTCTCCTAAAAATATATTTTAAGGGAGTTCAGACATGAACTTAAATTATTGTTTTAAGAAATAATTGTAGCTAATACTTCAAACCTTTTAAATAATGGCAAACATTTTCTTAACCTTTCAATTGTTACAGTTGTCACCCCAAACCTATCAAATCATAAGGATTGAGGCCCCATTGGACGATTTTCATCCAATCTGTCGTTAGTTGATGCAAAAAAATTAATTTTTACCATATTTCACTCAATTTTAAAAGGACAAAATAGTAGTTTAATATTTTTACAAAAAATAATTAAAACATTAAATCCAAAAAAAAAAATGAAGAGGAAAAACTATCTTCTTCTCTACCACCCCTACCCCTACCCCTACCCCTATCCCTACCCCTACCCCCAATCCTAATCCCTTAACCCAAAACTAGAAATTCGCCATACCATCGCCATCGCCATCGACCACCACCGCCATCTCCTTCGACTACCACCACATAAGGAATAACTTCATGCTTGTCCTCAATCCCCTCCCTTCTTTTTTTTTTTTTACCCCCCCCCTTTTTTTTTTTTTTTTTTTTTTTGCTTGTTGGTTTATATTACTATCTTTGCATCTTCTATTAATCTCTCTCAATCGAATGGAGGTTTTGAGTTTTGAATGCAAACTCCCTTTGGACAGTGTCAATTGCTGCTGGAGCATCAAGGCCTTGGCCGCCCAATTGATCTGGTTTGCCTCAGCTTTAAAGCCAACTTCGCCGATAGGTCTTCAAATTAGCTAAGTAAAGTCAACGACGATGCGTGATCGTCTCAAGTAGCGATAGAGGACACATCCCAGTTAAAACTGGAGTTCGAAGATGGGACAGCCAACATCATTTGGTCAAGAAAATCATCATGAGACGACGTCGGATCGATGTGGGATGACATCTAAGGTTGACCATTTTGATGATTATTCATTTTTTGGGGTGATTATTCTTGGTTTAATAAGGAATTTATTTTCATGGTTTCCAACTCTCTACCACCAATGCAGATGTCTTGATTTGTAGAGGGAGAGTTGTTGGCGGTCAGTTTTGGGTGGGGTGGGGAGGATTTTAATTAGCTGATTTGGTTAGGTTCATGGCGGTGGCGATGGCGGTGGCGGTTGATGATGGTGGTGACGGTTGTCGATTGAAATGGCGTCATTGGCGATGTTGGGCGATGGCAGTAGGCGTGATGGAGGCAAATTTCTAGTTTTGGATTGATGGGGATGGCATGGGATGGGATGTGATGGGGTGGGGTGGGGTTGATGAAGAAGATAGTTTTTCCTTTCTTTATTTTTATTTTATGGGAAAATATTAAATTACTATTTTGCCCTATTAAATTGAGTAAAATATGGTCAAAATTATTTTTCTTTGGTCAACTAACGACAGATTGGATGGAAATCGTCCATTGGAGCCTCAACTGTTACGATTTAAAAGGTTTGAGATAACAATTGCAACAATTGAAAAATTAGGAGAAAGCCTATCATTGTTTGAAAGTTTTGGAACCTCAACAACAGGTATCCCTCATTTTTTAGCTTTTACCCAAAAGCGTGGACAATGCCACGTAAAAGTTTCGACATTATCTTAAGGAAAGGTCATTGTTTTCAGGAACTTTGAATCAAACATGTAATCACAGCCGTCAACTCTCCATCCGTAGACGTTCAAGACGCATGGAACTTTAGTGGATGTTGTTTGTATAATTTGAAGTAGACCCCACAATTATTTGGCCTTTCCCATCACTACACACGTGGACGGTCCACATTCTAAGATCTGCGTTCAAAAAATTTGCACAATTGGTCTCGAATTCATTGTATCAGCTGTAAGTCAGTCTCTCATATTTGAAAAGAGTAAATCAGTCCTATTGAAACTTATAAATTTATTTCATGTTGTTCATATAACTTCAATTTATTTTACGTTGACCATCCGCTTGCATTTTATATTAGCTTGACCATTCAATTTGTAATCCTGATCAAAACCAATCGCGAGTCTCAATGTGTAACCAGACGTTTAAATTTGTGCCAACATAAAAAATCTAGAGCAAGTAATTTAAGGTCATAAATCTTTTGAAATGTTTTGCTAAACTTATTGTTAAGTTTGCATCAAACTGGCTCTAGATAACACATTTACTAAACGGGGGGAATAACTTGGGCCATGGTTCGAAATAAAACTATCGAATTGAAATAAAAAAATATACATTGCCTATTAAATTGAAAAAAAAAAATCAACATTGAATGACTCACATGATATGTATATACATGTAAGTCGTTTGACCAACAATAACTTTTTTTCTTATAGTTTGTTGACATGTAAGATGTTTGACCACTAGTGATTTTTCTTTATTATAACTAGCGCTTGTTTGAGTCACATTATTTTCAAAAAAATATATTTTTCAGCAGTAATTTGACATTATTTCAATCACACATTTTTTAATAAAATAATATTACATGTAAATTTAAAATTTTTCCTTACTTTTTAACCATACATTTTCCAATGATTTGACATGAATAATTCATTTTTTCCTAAAATGTGGCTCAAACAGGGCTAGTTGCATAATTGGTCATACAAATTTTCATTAAATTATCACATGGCTCGCATATTTAGGTCCTATTTGAACCTCATTATTTCCTCATTAAAATGAAAAATATGATCGTTATCTATCATATCAAGCCACCATATTTAATCTTTTATCTCTTGTGTGGGGCCTATGATAACTATATTTTTTATTCTCATTTTTACAATAATGTAGTTTAAAAGGGGGCTTAATTTTAGAACTTTAGGATTGAATCTGAACCAGAATTTGGGTTCAAATTCAAAGTGAGGCTATATTCTATGAGAGTCACATGAAATTTAGTTAAAATTTATTAAGCTTCTTCCATGAAGCTCGACTATGCAATCATATTAAAAAGTTATAAGAGCTTCATCCATAACTATATTTTTTATTCTCATTTTTACAATAATGTAGTTTAAAAGGGGGCTTAATTTTAGAACTTTAGGATTGAATCTGAACTAGAATTTGGGTTCAAATTCAAAGTGAGGCTATATTCTATGAGAGTCACATGAAATTTAGTTAAAATTTATTAAGCTTCTTCCATGAAGCTCGTCTATGCAATCATATTAAAAAGTTATAAGAGCTTCATCTTTCAAATTTAAAAGACAAATTATACTGAAATAATAGACTAGGGACCAATCGTGCAATTTTTCAAACTCGGCCGACACGGATCTCATCACGAATTTCCTTTTTCGATCTGAAATTATTGTAATAATCTACTTCCTTCCTCTGCCGCTTGCTTGTGCTCTAAACACACTTCTTACTTCACTTCAGCTTTGCAGTCTCTCTCTACACTCTTTTCTCTCTCGTGTGGAAAAATGGGCTCTGTTTCGTTAAAAATAGGAGATGGAACAGCAAGATTCAAGAGGGCATCAGTATGTTCTTCAGCGGTTAATCTACTGATGCTTTTTTCTGTAATAATCACAAATCTTTTTGCTTTTTATGCGTTTACATACTCGCCAAAGGAACTTCACCACCATCACAATCCGAAAGATATATCATTAATTTCAGAGAAAGTGTCCATAATCCTACGGGAGATTGAATCTTCTAAGAAAAAGTTAGCCCAGATGGAGAAAGAGCTCTTAGGCTTTGATACCATTGATATATCGAAACCCAATATTCCAAATGAGTTGAAAATTTTCTTGGATCACCGTGAGCTACCATTGGGGAAAGATTCAAGAACTGGGATCACTGAAATGGTGGCATCTGTGGGCCATTTTTGTGGGAAATCTGAGGATTTATTGTCTCAGTACATGAATTACAAAGTCAATGGACTTTGCCCTGATGATTGGAGCCTTGGACAAAAGCTGATCCAGCGTGGATGCGAGCCTTTACCAAGAAGGAGGTGCTTTGCAAAGACTATTCCAAAGGTGGGTTTGCAGTCTTTTCCTTCTTCTCTATGGAAAAATGTAAGTGAAAAGATTTATAGTTGGAGTGGTATTGGATGCAAGAATTTGGCTTGTTTAAATAGTAAGAAATTGAATAGAGATTGTGCTGGTTGTTTTGATATAGTTAATGGTTATGAAACCCAAAGATATGTTAAGACAAGAGGCAAGAATGATTTCCTTATTGATGATGTTTTGGCAATGGGAAGTGGTGGGATTAGGATTGGTTTTGATATTGGGGGTGGGTCGGGAACTTTTGCTGCAAGAATGGCTGAGAGAAATGTGACGGTGGTGACTTGCACTTTGAATATTGATGCACCTTTTAATGAATTCATTGCTGCAAGAGGGATTTTCCCTTTGTATTTGAGTTTCGATCATAGGTTCCCATTTTATGATAACGTGTTCGATTTAGTTCGTGCGGGGAGCGGACTGGATGTTGGGGGTAGGCCAGAGAAATTGGAGTTCTTGATGTTTGATATCGACCGGATCCTAAGGGCCGGAGGATTGTTTTGGTTAGACAACTTTTATTGTTCCAATGAGGATAAGAAAAAGGATCTCACTCTGTTGATTGAAAGATTTGGATATAAAAAACTCAAATGGGTTGTGGGAGAGAAAATAAATGGTTCTGGGAAATCTGAGGTTTATTTGTCTGCTGTTCTACAGAAACCTGTAAGAGTGTGATTATAATGATTTTCTCCTGAGAAATTTCCAGGTGCTAAGGGTACTGTTGGGACATTAGTTCTGTTGTCACACAGAAGAATTCTTCTGAGTTCATTTCTTGACATTGGCTAGTTGGCTATTCCTTTCTACTGCTGAATAAAGGGGCATTGTTTGTCTTGGAACCAAAAACAGCACCATAGGTTGATGCACTCTTGATCTAAATTTTTTCTTCGGTAAAGTTAGATATATATCTCTCTCTGTTATGTTATTCAAATATTTAGATAACACACAATTGAACAAGGATAAGATCATTTTGGGTTCTGTGGTTTATTAACCGCACATTTGAATTTGTAGTGTTAGAATGAGCTAATTATTGGCAAATCTTGATTTCAAGCTGGAAATTTCCCGGTTTAAATATGATTACTGCTACCGTGTTTCTGTATTACTAGAATGATAGAACATTGTTTGTTTCGGAATGGACTTCTGCAGTTGTTATTGCCTTTCTTAGTGCTGGGATACTTTTATTAACTAGAATTTATTTTCTCATTGTTTGAGACAATTTTCTGCCATTGAGCGTGTTTGTCCATATGATCCCGCAAGTAGACAAGATCGAAGGATGTGCTGGATCTGATGCTCAAGTCTGAAGCTGGAAGGATTACGATATTATGAATAACTAGAGTAATCTAGTAAAAAGAGTTATGTAGTATGGACCTTTATAATCCTCTCTTTTTTAGGCTGTTCGAAAAAATATAGGTGCTTTAAGCTGGTGGTTAATTGACCACATTCTCCCACTCTTTCTATGTTTCGTAAGTCAGGTTTTTTGAGCTAGATAATGAACAATCAACGCTAGGAGTGGGTTGTTTGAGAAGGAAGTGGGTGCATGGCCAGCCCTGATATTTTTGGGGCATTGTGCCAACTTCAAATATGGGCCTATTGAAAAAATAATAATAATAATAAATAAAAAATTATCATATTCTTAATTGAGCCTTCTTATAGAGAATTTTAATATAATAATGAAGAATATAATATAGAAAACTAAGCCCCCAGAATTTGAAGAGGAAAATAAAGAAGTATCAAATTTTAACACGCTATACAAATTATAAGTGAAGTTTGGCGTATAGGATTATAATGCAATGGCAAAGGAGTCTGTTCGTTTCTTTGATCATTTTCTCACCGCAACTATTTAAAACAAAATTGAATATATATTTGAGTGATTTATGTACAAAATTGGAAAATGTTGATTGTGAGAGATAATATAACAAAATAATGGAAATGGTGATCAAATATAAATGAACTTCTAATTTTATATTAATTCAAACTAAATTAACTTGCAAATAAGAAGTATGTACACGAACAAAGAATTATTAAATTTAAAGTACCTTCAACAACCATTAAAAAGGGCTATTATCATGAGATTAAAGGAGAACAATAATAATAACAATTTATGTACTATGGAATATATGTTTTGAAAGATAAGGGAGAAAGAAAGAAACTTGTAAGATATAATAATGGCAATGAGACCACACCAATCTGCTAAATTGAATTTTTCAAATTTTAATTCAAATTGAGATAGTTCATTTTTTGTTGGGTTAAAAAAATTTTGGTGGATTACTATTGGACATGGAATTTGACTAAACAAAGAGACCTTTTTGTTTGGTTAAGAAATAAATGGATGTTTGGAAGATAAATGGTCAAATTACTTAGAAAGAGAGTAATGGTTGTGATATATTTATACGATAAATAAATGTAAGTTATAAGTTCTATGCCATTTATATGTTTTTTCTAAAGATTTTTTGTATTTTCAATTTTTATTAATTTCTCGTGTAAACATATTGATAATTCTATTTTAAAGAATTTCATAAATATAATTTTCGTTTTTCTTCAACCAATCAATTAACCCTACATATTTTGGGGCTTTCATCAAAGTAGGGTCTTAGGCGGTCACCTTCCTCGCTCATGGGCAGGGCACCACTGAGTGGGTGGTTAGTCCTCAATATTCTTAGTCTGAAAGAATGTGTATATATTTTGTCATCATTACAGATAATATTTTTCAGTCCAGTCTCTTACTTCCATATGTGCATGCAAAATAAAAAGTGTCGAAGGATGTGCCAAGATTGCTTCTGAAAGTAGCCTGTGAAGCTCAAGTCAAGAGCCAGCAGGATAATGATTATATGAATATAACTATAGTAATAAAGTAAAAGGAGTTATGTAGTATGAATTTCACATCATCCAGTTTTACCATGTTTACTTAGTGGGGTTCATGAGCTAGAAAACGGACAATGGACACTAGAAGTTGACTGTTTTAGAAGTGGTGAGTCCTCAACAGTCGTACAAGTCCCTTCTTTTTTTTTTTTTTTTGCAATACAGAGTTGATTTATTCTACATCAGAGATGGGCGTATTTTTCTGTGGACTGTGGCACTGCTTTAATATATTACAATATGGGACTGGGACATCAACTAGGAAGGGAAAAACGAACGAGGGTGAAGAAGACCGTTGCGGTGTCTTTGTAAGATCATGTTCAAGAACCTACTTCTTCTGAAGAGTCTTTAACTGTTCCTTGAAAAATGTACTTGCGCATTTTTTTAAAGCTCGAGTAAACTTGGCCATCTCTATATGATTGAAGGTTATCATCATAGCTTGTGCATTCTAATGCTCATTGATTTGTTTTTGCACTCCTCCATCAAAATCATGTTGCATTCCGCTTTCTTAGTTCGATTCCTAGGTCTTCCCTTAGTTTTGTACTTATCTTGATTGTTTCATTCAACGTTGTCTTACATATAATCGAGAAACATTGATTTGGTGCATCCTATACTAATTAATTTATGTCTAATAGTCATTATTAGATATTGTCTCATATACACTATTTGCTCTTAGAAAACATTTATTCATTATTCGTGTTTTGAATATTTTAAATTGGAAAATGTTTCTTGTACATAATTATTTACATAATGATGAGCTGTCAAAATGTAAGTGGGGAAGTTATTTGATTGATGAGATTTTGATTTAATTAAATTCAGCTATATCATTTGTTGGTAAACCATTATGTCAATTATTATGTACATGTAAAACAACCTTTTTAAATTTTATTTCTATTCGTTTTGAAGCTAAACGGTTATTGGTGCACGAATACTTTGGCTTCTGAATATATTTTGGTTAATTTTTCCCATGCAAAATCAAGATAATTTTATTATTGGTGAATGTTACAGAGTTCCCTTAAGTCAACGTTTCATCTATGACTCCTGTGATTCCTTAAAACCATGGGTATGGCCTATCGTCGATGCACTTTGTATCATGCTGATAAAACGAGGCTTTAGTTCTTGCTGAATTTTTTGAAATGATCTTTATTTTAATGGTCAAAGTGAAAAATCGTCCACTTATAATTGACTTTATTTTATTTTGAAAAAGGCCTTCTCTAGACTTCAAATATCTGATATAACCTTATTAAAATGGTTTTCACGAGGTTATTTTGTTTCCCTTATCCTTTGCCAGTGTCCCTAGTGCCACCAATCCCACCTGAACTCAAGGGCTTAGGAGTCTCCTCCTCTTGTTTATCTACTTGGGAACTCCTGGGCAAAGGAAAGATGATAGGGGCAAGGGGAACATGAAGACGAGGGGGAGAAGTATGGGGAGATACTTGGAGGGGGAGTGGGATTTGGACAGGGATAAGGATATGATATGAGGTGGTGGGAAAGAATTGTTCAATTCTTGAATGGTTAACATTCTTGATTAAGGGACATGATCATTGAAATAGTGAATGACTAATAAATGATCCACCGATATTAATCTAATCCAAGTAGAAAAAATCAATCATTCACAACCATTAATGAAGGATTCTTCGATAGGTGTCAACTAAAAGTGTAGTGATGTATGTAATTGAGGCGTCCTAACAGATCGGTGGCCATAATTATAACGGTCCTAAGGTAGCAAAATTCCTTGGGAGTTTGACTGCAAGACCCACCCGTCGAGCAGGGATGAAAATTGGCCTTAGTGAATTCAATCTTCTCCATTGTTCTTTGCACTCTGTGACTATTTCTTATTAAGGCTGAATGAGGAAGAATATTGACTTAAATTTATCTCGTGCTCGATACTTCATATTTCAAAACGTACTTGCCCAAATCCCTACTTGCAAGGGATCGAACTCTTTATTTATCTTTCATTTTGGGGTTGTTCCAAGTTTTGAATTGCCTTCTGTCATAGCTTGAGATTTAGTTCCATCTTCTGGTTTTACCAACATACTGCATCTGAACCATGTTGTCTTATCTTGTTCAGTGTGTTGCTAATGTGGGGATTGCAAACTAGCGATTTCCTTGCGCTGTTGGACTTACTCTATTGCGTGCCCACATTTCTAGTAGTTCTGAATCGTTGGAAGTGAAAACTATGCCACAAAGCATTCATCACATCTTACAAATGGGAGGAGCAAAAGGCGAAGAAATACCGTGTAAACCTATAAAAGCGGGATAGGTCATCCAGGCTCGGATGGAGTGAGACACCTTATGTTGGAAAATTCAAGGAGGTGGACATGCTGTCCTCAAAGCAATATTTGCTCCCTCTCAATTTACGAAACTCCTTGTAAATAGATTTACCCTATTAATCAAGCCTTTTACCAAGTTTGCGAAAAGCACAACAAAAACCCGGGAAAGGAGCAAATCTGAATTTGAGGTTTTCGAAATTGATATTTTGATTCAAGAACTAGGTGATGTTTAAGGTTGTCAATAGATTGGATTTTGATTCGAATCCGATGAAATTAATGGGAGATGAATTTAGGTCTAGGTCCGATGACCCAATGAAGACCCGAAATGAAGCAAATATGGATATATGTCAATTCAATCCGATTTATTATAATGATAATATTTTATATATTATTGCATAATAAATTACACATAATTTTTTCCTTTTTGAAACTTGTATTAAGTTATAACCTCCTCACAGTAATAAAATTAGTTTGGTTCGGACATAATGACTACTTGGGAGATTTTACTTTATATATGGAACACATTTTAAATATTGAAAAAAAAAATTCCTTTTTATTTTTTATTTTTCAAATTATTCTCTACCCATATATATGGACACGCACATGGCGTACGCTACTGTCACGTGTCTAGTAGACATGGCTGCTTGGCTGACATGTTTTTGTCCAATTAAATTTAATCACTTTCACTACAATTCATGATACATTATAACTTTATCCTAATTCTTGTGTTGAAACCACTGAAAAAGATTTGATCGGATTCAATTAAATAGGCTCTAATAAATTAATTTTGACATTGGCAAGTATTGATCGGTCGAAATAATTAATTAATCCCGTTCTATTACACGAAAAAAGGAGTGTACCCTTAGGACAATTGAAATTACTTAAACTGTAAAATCAATAATTACATATTGTCTCGTTGAACATTTTGAATATTTGTAACAAGACTAAAATGATGAATATGCTTTTCTTTTTTAAAATATTCATAAATCCTCAAATCTAATTTTCTATATGTAGTTCCATGTAATCAC